CCACACCTTAACACAAGCTCTTGGTCCATTTGTGTTGCTACAACAATGCTACAGACTTGGTAATGTATAAAGAACAGAACTTTATTTCTCACCGTTTGGGAGGCTTGGAAGTCCAAGACCAAGGAGGCTCCAGCATCTGGCGAGGCCCTTCTTGTTGTGCTCTTGCATGGCGGAAAGTGAAAGGGCAAGCCAGGGAAGAATGCTGTGTCCTCACGTGGCAGGAGTTCAGGAGAGCAGACAAGGGCAACCCACTCCCGGAATGGATTAATGCCTTTTTATAGCAGCTTAATCCATTCATGAGGGTGGAGCCCTCATGACCTACTCACCTCCCACTAGGCCACGCCTCCCAACACTCTGGCATTGGGGATTAAGTTTTCAGCACATGAGTGTTGGACCATTCAGACCATAGCAGTAGCCAATGTTTAATGAATGAGAAAATGAATAAATGGGCTCAACAGTGTTACCAGGGACTACAGGAGGGCAAACGCTTTCCTGTACCCAACTTCCAATCAAGTGTTTCCTTCCTACCCCCGGCATACCCAGCGCTGTGTGCCTATGCAGGATCGTGCCCTTTGAAGAAAGTACAGCAAGAAAAGAGGGAGAAAAATCTATGTTCTCGGTTTTTTTTTTTTTTCTTTTTCTTTTTAAGAAACAGGGTCAGGCGGGGCTCGGTAGCTCAGCCTGTAATCCCAGCACTTTGGGAGGCTGAGGCCAGTAGATTGCCTGGGCCCGCGGGTTCAAGTCCGGGCAACTTGTCAAGACCTCGTCTCTACAATAAATAAATAAATAATTACCCGGGCGTGGTAGTGCACACCTGGAGTTCCATCCACTTGGAAGGCTGAGGTGCAAGGATCACCAGAACCCACCAGGTCGACGCTGGGGTGGACGTGAGTGTGACACGGCACTTCAGCCTGGGTGACAGAGTGAGACTTTGACTCAAAAAAAAGAAAGAAAGAAAGAAACAGGGTCTCTGCTACCCCTTCCCAAATTTCTGGGCTCAAACTGTCCTCCTGCCTCAGTCTCCTGAGTACCTGAGTCCACAGTTAGGCACCACCGAGCCAGGCTTTTGTGTTCTCTCTTTCTCTCTCTCTCTCTCTCTCTCTTTTTTTTTTTTTGAGTAGGAGTCTCACTCTGTCTCCCAGGCTGGAGTGCAGTGGCATGCTCACGGCCTCCGCAGCCTCCAGCTTCTGGGCTAAGGCCATCCTTCCACCTCAGCCTTCCAAGTAGCTGGAACCACAGCCTCGCGCCACTACGCCGGGCTAATTTTTTTATTTATTGTAGAGACGAGGGCTCACCAAATTACTCAGGCTGGGCTCGAACCCGTGGGCTCAGGCCATCCTCTCGCCTCCACCTCCCAAAGTGCTGGGATCGCAGGCGTGGACCCCTGCGCCCGGCCTGGTGTTCTCTTTTTAAGGTTGAATCTTCTGCGTTCCCCTTTGGAATCGTTCCAACTGTCAGAGATTGCACAGACTATTTTAAAATGCAGTAAAGCTGTGAGTTGACCTGGGACCGCTGGGGAATTCCTCCCATCGCCTAGGGGACAAAGGATTGGACGGCAGCTCCCAAAACGTGGTTCCGTTTCAACTGCCCAAGTGTGCAAACGTGGGGCAGTGCATCCAACCCGTTTCCGAGGCGTGTTGGGATCAACGCTCACAAACGCACCTTAGGAAATACACAAGCGACCGTGGGTGCCGAGCGCCCTCGTACCCCTCCCTGGGAGGCCCGCCGGGGCGGCTCCCGACACGGGGG